ACTGAGATTGACCAAGTTTCTCAGTGCAGCTCAATAGCTCAGTTGTATAACATGTTTCATTTAGCTTAGTCTGATGTGAGTTGTCTTAAGAACTTATTGAGACTATTTCTTTCCCCTCACCCCAACTGAGCTTGCTATTCATCTGGTGTTGTAGTGAGAAAAAGGTGAGACTGGATTAATTCTAGTAATTCTGTGGTTCTGTGCTGAAAATTGTGAGGTTATATTTTCATTTTGTCGAACTTTCAGCTTTGAAGTTACAGTCCACAGGTTGAATCCTTTGAATACTCACTACAATAATATTTCTATGCTCTTCATTAATTTCCTCGGTCATTTTACATTTTGGTTGGATTATGTTAGGTTATGTTTTCTTCCCTTGCCCTGACTGATAAAAGTATGTTCTTTTTATCCAATCGACAACTCAGATCCATCTCACCTCCTTCTAACTCAATTGATCTCAGTAGCGAGAATGTAACAAGGTAAAAAGAATATTGCTATAAGAGTTTATTCTGTTAATAATTTGTAACAAACTCTGTTTCCTCTTATTGTGCCTACCAGAAAGTGTAAAACCGTCTCCATTCATTGATTTCCAAGTGATATTCCTTTGCACATAAGTGGATACATTCTATATTGAGTGTTACAGGATCATTATATACAAGTATGAAAATCAGAGCCCTGATCAAAAGCTAATAAGCGATACTACTACTACCGCCACAGCTGAGAGAGGCTCGACTCATGTACGATTTTCAAGGTTATGTTGGTTTGACAGGAAAACAATTGAAATAAGTGTTTCCTCCAGTTGACCGTATGGCGGTGCTACTGTATCGGCCACCCTGTAGGTGATTTTCCTTGTTTGAGCAGACCAAATACTCCAGCTCACTAGATTTTTTCTCCATATTATTATTTAGCAGACAATGAGAGCATCCTGATGCTACTCAAGGGCAACCTTTGCACATTTTGATTGGTCTAACAGATCGTCTTGAACAAAATGAATTCATGCATTTCACAGTGTATCACTACTAATGAATCATTGTGCTACATCCTCTTTAACAAACACATCAAAAAGGTGGTACATTTCCATCACAACAGTGTGCGTAGAGTATGCAATATAGAAGCAACAGTGTCTTACTGATTATTTTTTCTTTTGATAAGTATGTACAGCAATTTAGAAATATTTCAACAGTTCAAGGTCGATTAGAATATGTCTTGATATAGAATATGAAGCTAAAATAGTCCTAGTTTCATTATGAACAAAACAAGTTCAGTTTGGAGCAGCCAGAACTTTACTGGTCAATATGAAAAAACCGAACTTTTGTTCATGGATTATCGCTACCATCCTGGAGATATTTACCTGAAATATCAGCATTTTTACCTTTTGAATCAGCTACATTGATAGTAATAATTTTTTTATAACTTTCTTCCTGAATCCAAACCAGTCATGATTCAAATTCTGAATTATTATCCCATTCAGAAGACAAAATAAACTTAAAGCAAAAAGATACTTCATACTACAAATTAGTTTACCAAAAATCAATTTCCTGATTTCTAATGGAATTTGGTCACACTGTATACTAGGTTGCCTTGAATTATAAAAAGCGTAAATTTCAAGGCACTTTTCATAATTTTTTCCTAGTCTACATTGCCAGGAACCAAGGTGAAAATGAAAAGACACTCTGTATGTATTAGAATAAGTGAGATGTTATATCCTAATCTGATGACTAGATTTTGTTGTCTTTTTACTTTTCAGTTTCCTCAGTAGTTTCAGTAGTGAAGTCAAAAAATACCTTTTTCTGTTTATTTTCAAAATTCAGGATAGCATACTATTGAGAAATGAAGCAGTCATTATTAAGTGAAAAAATCTTACATAACCTTAGTCAATAGTTCTCAAGAACCCAGTCATAATTTTATTTGATTTCTGAATTTCAGGTAACATAAGCTGTAATTCAAAAAGTTGAACTTTCTTAAAAATTCAAAAATAATCTCAAGAGAGTATTAATAATTTATGGACTAAAAGGCTGCTTGAAGCTGATTCTTCTAAACTAGACTAGAAGAAGATATCCATCAATATAAAATGAAGAAAACAGTCCATAAAATGGAAGTATATTGCACTAACAAATAAGTGTGGATTTATGCAGCATCAATTTTCAATTATCAAGTAACAATTATCAATTAACAATTATTAAGTAAGGAGTTGCTAAAATTTTACCAATTACCAATGAAAAATAAAAAATGTGCAGGCACAAAAGTACCTTCCAAGCTATTCAAGATAACCACAGACATTTTTTTCATAATACAGGGTGTCCGCTAAAAGGAGGTCAATCCATTAAATATATATTCCTTGAACATAAACAATATGAGTTTCTAAATAGAATTTTCCATTCTAGCCCTTCTTATTCGATATACAGGGTGTCAAAGTTGGAAATTAAATTAAACGTGTTGAATTTCTATCAATTATTTTTTAATTATTTTAATACATTCGCTCTGAGCACTCGGTATTTCCATATTTACCTTTTCGTACGTAAAACGTTACGCCCTCTTCCAATTTCGACGAAATAAATAGAGGAATATGTGAACATTATGAGATTACCGTTAGCCGCATAGGCATCAAACAATAACCAGTACTTTTCGAATTATCTTAAAAACTAATCATTTTATCGAAATTTTACAGGAGACAAAAAATACTCAAAAATGATTGAACACTTGAAGAAAGTCATTAGCGCACGTGCAAAAAAAATATGGGGGTAAGTGTCTACTTGACCCCCAGTATTTTGAATATTTGACAGTTATTTTTTGTTTTGTTTTCCTCACACGATGTAACTCTTTGTGCTGAAGTATTGTACGAATTTTGAGATTAACATCTTATTAAATACGCGAGTAATTAAAAAAAAACAGCTTTCAATTTCCAACTTTGACACCCTGTATATCGAATATGAAGTGCTTAAATGAAAAATGCTACTTAGAAACTCATATTGTTTTTGTTCAAGGAATATATGGTTAATGGATTGACCTCCTTTTAGCGGACACCCTGTATATTAGACACATTTTGGGATATTTCTATCACAAGTGGGTCCAAGACTCAGAAATGATAGAAATAATGAGAAGTAAAAAGAAACACAAAACCGGGTAATGTTTTGAGGTTATTCTTCATCATAGGATGGACCAATCCTCAGTCATCTACAAGGTCATCTGCGTACTGGTTGCGCACAATAAGAAAACCTGGTTCAATTGATGTAAAAAGTTGAAAGTTGACCAGCCTTCTACTTGTCCAATGATAATTGTTAATTGTCTGCATAAACACAGTGATTAAAAATAGGAAGTTCAACTCATAATTGATAATTGTTAATTGATGCTGCATAAATCCACACTAAAGCTACTCTTACATTACAGCCTTTTCATAGAAATTGCTGGCAACTGAATTGCTGGCCTTTGTTAAACAATAATTGCGCATGCGTTTCGGTCTATTTTCACTGCAACTTTCAGGCTTGAAATACAGGCTGATTCACGGTGGATGGCACATTAGACGTTTCTGGTGAACCAGACAACGGATCATTTTGAAAATTCAATGGAGGGCATATTCGGACATTCTCTAGCCAACTAAAATATTTTCGACAATGCGGTGTTGCCGCTTCTATTAGAAAGCAGTAGCAACTTTGATTTTTCAAATGGAACACTCTGTATTTTATTGCATTTTTAGATTCTCCCTGAAGAGCTGATTTCATCGATGTATCACACTTGGGGTCTAGCGGAAATCATTACAGAGATATAGGGTGTGAAAAATCGACATTTTTCAACTTTAGGATTTTTTTGTGTCGAAACTATTCATCATTGGTCAAAACGGCTTACATGTCCCTATCTCAACTTTTGATTAACTATCTACTGATATTTAATTGGGACATATACCGGGTGATCAAGATTCTGAATTCTGCACCACCCTGTATTTGTTTCATTTAAATGTTAGTAGATAGTTGATCAAAAGTTGAGATAGGAACATGTGAGCCGTTTTGACCAATAATGAATAGTTTCGACAAAAAAAATTCCTAAAGTTGAAAAATGACGATTTTTCACACCCTATATCTCTGTAATCATTTCCGCTAGACCCCAAGTGTGATACATCGATAAAATCTGCTCTTCAGAGAGAAACTAAAAATGCAATAAAATACAGAGTGTTCCATTTGAAAAATCAAAGTTGCTACTGCTTTCTAATAGAAGCGGCAACACCGCATTGTCGAAAATATTTTAGTTGGCTAGAGAATGTCCGAATCTGCCCTCCATTGAATTTTCAAAATGATCCGTTCTCTGGTTCACCAGAAACGTCTAATGTGCCATCCACCGTGAATCAGCCTGTATATAGAAATGTTTCTAATTTTGAAAGTCATTCACGCGCAACTTTGCATATTTTTAGTGATTTTAGATTTTGACAACTTAATTATCGTGTTGGTGGTTCTGTATAATGGTCGACTATAAAGTAGAAGAAGAAGAAGAATCATTTTAATCATCAATCAATTTTAACTAATAACTTATCAAATGTAGGCTCATCCATTCTCAGATAGTTTTTAAAAGCTTTCAAGTCATTACACTCTTTGAATTCATAAGTTATTCTTAAGTTTTCGATTGTTTTATTTAACCATTGTTTGTTCCAACAGGATCTATTCCTCCTGTTTTCCATGCGCCTTTTTATGTAAGTGGCAAGAGCAGCAGTAGTAGTAATTGCCATGAGTAAAACTTGTATTTTTCCTCTATCCATTTTCAAAATGAATTTCCACAATTTCGCTTGACTTGTTTATTTTGAAATATCAACAACTTATAATGTCAAAAATGATGTCAAATGTCAACGTCAATAGTTCGAAAACTCTGAAAAAGTCTTGGAAAATGTCGCAAATGTAAGAAGACTAGTTTCTCTAGTTTTTAATTTTGCGTGCAATTTATATTGCTTGCAATAAAGTTGCTGCAAAAAGGCTGTAATGTAAGAGTAGCTTTACAAATGAAAACTTGAGAGCAATGTCCTGAAATAATCCTAGAATTTCGAATTCAGAAATACATCCAAGATGATAGCATTAGCCCAAACAACCGAAAAGTTTCTTGTAAGAACACCAACAGTCATCACAAACACTCCTCCAGAACAAAACTGGACTCAAATAAAATCCCTCCAGAATCTCAAATATTCTTCCAAATCACACAGTACCGCACTAATTGAACACTCACACTGTAAACTTACAGTTAGATCAAATCGGTTGCCAAACAATTTATCACTTCGAATCTCTACGAAATCGTGTCGCGACCTTACAGAATCGAGCATTTCAGCTTGAAGGGAGCCCGCCCGTGTCCGCCGAATTTTTTGTGAGAACTTTTGCCCCCTTTCGACTTGTCCTTCCGGATTTCCCGAACTAAAGTGTAGAAGGCGTCGTCTACGCCCATTCGCGTCTTCGCCGAGGTCTCCACGAATGGGATCCCGTACTGTTTGGCTACCTGAAAATTCATTCGGAATACAATCAGAACAATGTATACAGGGTGAATGAGTTTTTTTCAGCAGGACTTAAACAGCTGAGAGAAGACATTTTTGGGATCGAAATTATACCGGCTGACACAGGAGATATGTAGCAGCCTGTTGTTTTTTAATTTGAAGAGATAAAATTTCGAAATTCACAGGGGGTATATAATAAATGGTAGCGCACTTGACGACAATTTTTTTCAACCACCTATTTGACCGGAAGTGACCCCAACTCATTTTTTTTAAATGTCACCCTGTACATTTCTTCAGTGTATCTTTTTCGCCTTGAAATTCTCTATCCAACCATGTATCACAAAGTGGCATTCACTTTTTAATTCGCTGTTGAATTGCTTTTTATTCAAAAAGAGTAAGTTGGCTGTGACATGAATTCGATGATGTATCGACACTTGGTAGGCTTTGAAATTTGAATATCATTAGTAAACCGATATTATTCAAAATGTTTTGATATTCTGATCAATGTCTGCAGGTTGTCAATAGCTTGTTTGAGTCAAGATGAAAACCTTCGAAAATAACTCAATATATTGAGGAATCTAAGAGAGGAACATATTTTTTCGAATTCAGCTACACGTACAGAAACTATCTGTCTTTTATTTTCGACATGTACCTATCACATGATCTTCCCATTTGGAATAATAAAACTCAAATGGTTTCTCTTATACGATGATCCACAGGGCTATCAGTCTATTTTTTCATAATTATTTCACTTAGTAGGCGGTGTACCTACACAAAATGTTTTATGTGTTTGACAGTTAATCGATTGTATCAATAATTTTTCTTCTTCATTTGTGTGTTGATTAAAATTGCATATTATCAATAGAGACGGAAAATGTATTCAAGAAACGAAAAAGTCGATATGTTATTCTAGAGAAAAGGCATGCTTGTGTTTTGTTTGCGTTGCAGCACAACTTTCAAAGAAAAATATTTTGCATTTACATGTTGAGAACGGGAGCAGATTCGGTCCCGAAACGTCCAAAGGTAAGTAAAAATTCGATATTTTTTCAATATATCTATATCTCTTTCCTTCAAACATTTTTTCAAACAAATTGTCACTGACAAGCTACTGGATTTTTCTTTTAGACTCCCTGATAGAAAAATTTGTTAAACGCAGTGATATTTTGAGGCAAATCATCTGATTTGTCCCACTTCAAATATATTGAAATAATACGAATATTTTTATTTTATAGAAACGAGGAGAGAAAATCCCAAAAAATCAAGTAAAATGGAATGTTCAGTTTAAAAAGCTTTCCACCGACTCTCATACTCACCGAACACTCACAAAAATTTTCATAGGTATCGGTCGAGCCGTTTCGGAGTAGTTTGGCTCCTCTAACACCGTGACAGGGATTGGAAAAAAAATTTTCTGTAATTATAATATTACAAAGTGGAAATCTTGAAGGGTAACGGGCATCAACTTCCAATTTTCAGATGGAACACCCTGTATTTAATTGCATATTTGGATTCTCCCTGGAGAGATGATTTCATCCTTCGAATCACCACATTCAAGATGAAAACCTCATGTAAACATACAGGGTAACTCACGGTCGATGGTACGTTAGACGTTTATGGACAATATACAATAATAACAAAGTTGTTGCTACTTTTCTATAGAAGCGGAAACGCCGCAGAGCTGAAAATATTTTAGATCGATAGACCAAGAGCAACTACGTGAGTAACCAAAATTTCAGAATGATCCTATGTCCCGTTCTCCATAAACGTCTAACGTACCATCGACCGTGAGTTACCCTGTATATGCAGGGTTTCATATTTTGAGACTTTTCTTTCTTGTGTTTTGAAATTTGGTACACCTATCACACTTTGGAACTGCAATATTTGGGGCTATCAAGCGTCCTTGAAACCTACATGATGATACACTTTTGAGGGTCGTACCCGAGTTATTAATCCACTCGAACTTTTTTGTGTTAAGCCTCTGTTTTCTATGAAACATCAATTTAGATTTTCCCTTCAATTTGGATACTCTTTGGTTTCCTTTCGTTTTTTTCAAAAACTGTATGGGTTTCAAGATAAATGCCAAAAATAATTTACTTGTAATGAAACTTTATTTTTCGAGTCCGTATTTTGTAGCAGGACTTTCAACAGCTTGAAATACACATTTTTTTAAGATGAAATCCTCATGTAAACATATATGCGTGGGGACTCCGTTTCCAATATTCAGGTTTTCAAAGTTTGAGATTTTCCTTGTGTTTTTCAAGTTTTCTCCTACAATTTTCAGAATAATGAATTGAAATTTGTTACACCTATCACAATTTGGAAACGCAATATTTGGGGCTATCAAGCCTTCTTGAATACCTACAGGATGATACACTTTTGGGGTCGTGCAAACTTTGAAACCTTGTATATCGAAAACGAACCTCCTACGCATATATGTTTACACTCGTGTTCATAGATTTTCTAGGAAAAAATGTCTCCTTTAAGCTATTGAAGTCCTGCTACAGAAAACGGCCTCACCCTGTACAGATTGGAAATCACATTACCGGCGTATAGGGTCTTCCTTTGATAGACAAGAAAAAATAGCGAGAGACACACTAATGTCCTTCCTAGTATCGTAAATTTCTCGGTAAATTTTGACCCTTTTTGGCCATAATGATATGAAGGAGAGCCAACAACTTTATCCCGGCCACATATTTCTGTGGAACAACAATATTGACGATTTTCTTTCAATACCTGTAAATTCAAACACTACTGAGCTGTGACGTCAATGTCACCTTGCAATTTGATTGGTTGGAATTTGTGACGGATGTATAGCACGGCAATATGTTGCCAGGTCTCTATAAAATCCTTGAATTGATCCTATGTGCAACAGTGCAAGATGGTGCAAGGAATGAAATGATTCGAAATTACTATGTGTGAGGTAATTGGTTAATTGGAAATTCACTTCTGATCACTTTCAATTTACTCTAAACTGCGAAATATTAGTTTTAAGATCGGCTAGGATAAGATGTGATACGGGCATCTAATAATAAGATGCTCTCAAGGACTCATTTCAATATAATTGCTAATGTGGCAACCATGTCTACAAGAGAAAGAGATGAAGCAACTAGGGCTAACACAATGTTGCCAAGTTGAAATACCTCATTCTCCGCATAACTTCACTGTTCACATTCCTCAATTTTTTTTTGACAAGAAGGCAGTGATGCTTGTATAGAAAGAAGAACCAAGTGAGCAATTAAGTATTGATTGATTCAACATACAAGTAGGTACCAAAGTGAGTGACATAAATTGGAAGTACTGTGCTGGAAGGGATTCAGAGCTGAATGTCATGAATATCTGCATTGTGATTCAAATACAAAAAGAAATTTCATTAATGATTTTAAAATCATCCACAAAAATCAATCATATAACTAATTATGCAATGCAATTGTTCGGTACCACGAATTTTTAGGTTGTGTTATCTGAAAGCATCAGTATCATAATTATGCTGAAAAAATCGAGAAATGATTATCTGACTAATCCGGAATAATCATAGTTTTTGCCCAAATTGGCAACATTGTCACGTCCATTGTGCATGGAGTTGTGCATTCTATTGGCAACTGTGGAAGGTGAATGCATTACTCAGCTCAGTCAATGACATCATTATAATCTGAAATAACTGAAATACCTCACTAGAACTGAACCTGAATCAGTTATTATGTGTTCTTTCCAAAGAATTTGATTAGTTAAAATGCTTGTTCTGATTCAGTTTAGTGAAATATGTCAGTTAGTTCAGAAGTAAAGGATATCATTATATTATTTGAAAATAGTTCAGTGGAAAGATTTATTGGACCTCTTAATATTTCAATGCCACCAAGTTGGTAGCATTGAAGAGAAAGATGGAATAGAGAACTTTCCTCTCTCTTGTTCAAGGTAGAAAATAGCTCAATTGATCTTGATGAAAATAACATTTTTTGAGTATGAAGGTTCAGTGAGAAAGTCAATTGTGAAATATTTTGTGAAGTCATGCTCCTGTATCTATTTTTAGTTAGGTCATGTCATATGACATGAAAATTTAAAGAGTGATTTGCTATAGTTATTTTAACTAAATTTACTTTTATAAAGGGAGCAATAAAATGATAAAGAACAAATTGTAAAGGTTCATTTGAATCTGAGTCTAAAAATCTTTTTGAAGGATACTAAAAGATTACTTCCATAGATCACATAATGCCAGAATGAAGGTGGGTAGCTATTGTGAAGAAACATCCTAAATTTTTTTTATTGTCATTTTTTCTTCACATGTGAATATGTGATATTTTTCAGAATGTTGGACCTTCCAATGCTCTAAATATAATAGGGCCTCAGTTTAGAGCTTGGATACTCACACAGAAGTTCAGCAATAGAAACAAACAGACCTATAATAAACATCTCTAGATGCTTAATGCAAAAATTAAGTAGGTGTTCTAACACTTACCTGATATCATATAAGTACTCAAAACATATTCATCAACATTATTCAATAATGTTCATGTAGTTTCTGTGTTTTACTCTATCTACTTAATTATCTGCTGTTGTCCTCCTTGTTATGGTATGAACAGTTGAACACATATTTTAAATATAACATTATTTGAATTCATCAAGGTGGAATAAATATCAATTGAATTCATACAAATAATAGGTAGGTATGATGTTGAATTTTTCATTTTACTATTTTGTTACTATCATCAGCCAATATACAAATTTTCTTTGGTGAGTTTTTTTGTTAAGGACTAATATAGGTATTTTGAAATCACCAAGGATCAGAGAATTACAGATAGAATGCAATGACAACAATAGCTTTTCAAGTATTATTAGTATGATGCATGATCATATTGGCCATTGAAACATAATAGGGATCCCCTTTTGTGCTGTACAAACCATAAAAAAACTATTTGGATATAAATTTTGGATAGATGAGGTACTATTATTGTACTCTTTAGGAAGTAGGTACATTAGAAATTCTCTATCAATATTAAATAATCATCAAGTATTTTTTTCATTTTGTGCACCCAAAATTGGATTAATAACTTGATCTGTCCTCCATAAACAGAACTCATTTTTCTATATTTTTTTCAGGAATGGGAACAAAAACCCAAAAACCCTTGGAAATGAACAATACTACATTCTCAAAGAATACCTATACTGATTTGGTAATTTCATTCAAATTTCCAATTATTTTACTATTCCAGGTTCAAGTCTTGGTTTATTGGGTTATCTATTAGTCTTATTCCAGGAAACATAAAGCATACCTCTCTAGCTTGATTCATGTCTACAGCCCAGGCAGAAAGATCACATTTATTTCCAACAAGAACCATTGGCACCTCTTCAGCATCTTTAACTCTCTTAATCTGTTCTCTGTATGTCCCTATATCTTCAAAGCTTTTGGCAGAATTCACAGCAAAAACTAAGAGGAACCCTTCACCTGTTCTCATATACTGATCTCTCATGGCACTGTACTCTTCTTGACCAGCAGTGTCCAAAATATCTAGCAGACAAGTATCACCATCAATAACAACTTGCTTTCTGTAGGAATCCTCAATGGTGGGGTCATATTCATCCACAAAGTGATTTTGTATCAATTGTATGGTCAAGGCAGATTTTCCTACACCACCGGCTCCAACGACTACCAATTTGTATTCAGTCATTTTTGAGTAATGAGTAAACAAGTTCCTGAAAATTATATCAATACACTTTTTTGAGCACTTTGGGCTTCTGTCTAGAGTGTTTCTTGGGCCACTCTGTCAGAGCATAATTAGAAATGAAGAGGATAGATCAAACATGACGCAATTAATTCAGCCACTGGATAAATAACTTTCAATTAATTGTAATCAAGAACAACGAATTATTACTACTATAACAAAAGTTGTGTGCCCGTCAAACGAAAATGACACTTTTGGGAGATTTGGGATAATTATTTGGTTCTTTGCATTTTAATTTTGTCCAAAAATGACTTTAGAAACTTGTCATTCTTGTCAACTTGTTGCCAAAGAATCATAAAACATAAAACTATTATGTCAATAACAAAAATGATTTCTGACATGAGTCTTAAAAGTCATAAAACAATAATTTTTTACAATGTCGCCAACATGAATCCACCAAAATCATACTTCTAATAGTGACAGTGACAGCAAGTAACGTAATGAAAAGTTTGACTTGACAACGACCCAACGACAAGGAGATGACAAATTTACAACAAATCATAACAAACAAAAATGATTGTAGTAATTTTTGGTGATTGTTAAACTTCAACTTGTTTCCTTGTTTGTTCTTGGTTCTACATAGTCTTGATTTATATTGATGTGATCTAATCAAAAATCCATTTTCAAGGTAAAATGTAATCAAATCATTCAAAAATATCAGTTCTTATTAGTTGATAAAGTAGGTTCTGTTAACTACAATCAAAATAACTTTCTGTTTTTTAGAAAATTCCTCGGAAAATTCCAATCATGTCTTCAAAGCAAGGACATGAATGTTATATGGATAATATTAAAGTTAAGATTTCTGAAAGATTTAAACCACCTCCTCATATAAATGTAGCTGTTCCATATGCACAGAGACTTGCAATTACTCAACAAATTCAAGAAAATATGCCAAATTATGAATTCCATTTGGAGAGAACAGTCTTGGATAAAATGCGTGAATGGAAGAGCTATAGGAGATCTGTGTCAGAAGATAGAAGATCTAGATTAGAAAAAGCTAGAGATCAAATGAAAAAGGATCTAGAAAATACTGAGGATCAATTAGAAGAAGTAGAACTTAAGACTGTTACTGAGACTGGGACTACTGCTTACAGTGATAATAATTTTATTTCAATGCCTTCAAGTAATCCCATAAGCACTAGTATTAATCAGAGTTATTTGAGCTATTCTACAGACAATAATATTCTTGTCCCTACACAAGCTATGAATCATTACTCAAATATCCTGACACCTATACCTCTACAAACTCTAGGAAATCAACCATACACCTGCAAGCAGAATGATAAAAGTCCATTCAACATTTCTGATTTTGAAAATGACACTTCTAGTCCTTTTGATAACATGGAACTTAAATCTATCAATGATATGGAGGAGCTAGCTCAAGTTTTGAACAAGGGCAAGAGTTTTGGTACTAATACTCCTGTTTATTCAAATTATCAACATCAACCAGTTCAAGCTAGTAGTTCTCAGATCCAACCAACATATTCTAGTTATTTCAACAACCAGTACAGCTACAACATTCCAAACTCAATTTCCTACATTCAGCCAACAACAAGTGATTATTCACAAATGAATGGTTGTTATTATCCACAGCAGGGCCAGCCTTTACAATCACCATACTTCTTTTCAAAACCTAGCACGGTGGATCATGTTCACACAACACCAATTCAGTCCCCTCCTAGCAAATCCAGCTGCAAAAGTGTCCCAGACATTGTGAGAGCCCTGGAGAATGAGTTGGAGCAAACTCACCTGGGCACCTCTGCTCCAAAGGATTCCTTCATTGCAAATAATCAGGGAAGCAGGCCTAAGAGTACTGATCCTGTGTACCCCAGACCCAAGATCAAAGGAGATCAGTTGGACAATCCTTTCAACTTGTTGACAAAAAATCAACAGGATGTGTGCAAGGCAATCAGCTCCATGGGGTTTCCACTTTCCAGGGTAGCCAGGGCTTGTAGGATATTTTTGGATGACCAGAAAAAGGTGAGAGCTTGCTATTTTGTTCTCTTCACATTGTTTTCCAACTGCAGTTATTTATTGAAAAGGAATATTCTCAGATATATTTATGAACACAACAAAATGGATATATGTATTCTTCATGTGATGAAAATATTAATTCTTCTTGGTTTATTCAACAGAAAACAACTATTTTCCTGGCTATATGCCATGACAAACATTGAATTACATCTATTGAACACACAGGATAAGAATTTGAAAACAAAATCTCCTGAAGTAGTGAATTTGCATTCTCCTTCATATGAAAATATGCACATATTATCATTCTAAATATTTAACAGAAAACTACTACTTTCCCCATCCTGGCTATTTGCCATGTTGAACATTGAATTATATCTGTTGAATATCCAAAAACTTCCATGATGAAAAAAAATTCTTTCCATGTCCTGTATGATTAATATCAATTCATCATACATCCAAAAATGCAGTTATTCAAATTCTATATACCACATAAGTAGAACTGGAACTATTGATGATAAACTCTTAAACTGGAATGTCCTGAAATATGATTTATGGAAGAAAAATCACTGTCTTGAAAAATATATGAGAAAAATAATAACACTATGGAATGATGTTGTCTTTGCTACACCAAGAAACATCATTTTTGTAAGAGGGTATGAATGATGAATTTTTTGTATCATTGGCTATCAAGAAATGCATTTGACTTATAACCTAAAGCTGGAGTTAACCCTCAATTCCTCAAAAATGCATTATTTGTTCTTGAATATACAATATTGAATATTGTGAATTGTGAAACTTGAATTCAAAATTAGGAATTCATAATTTTTTTGAATATAACCTTGATTTTGATGGTTTTTCTACCACAAGGTACATTTTCTTGCATGATTCCCAGTTTTCTCACATAAATTAAAAAGCAATTAATGGGGGTAATAATAAACTAACCTCAAATGTAAAAATTTATAATATCAAATTGTTTCTGCTATCTCAATGGAGGGGAAAAATTATGTATTATTGATAATGTTATTTTTGTCAATTTGATTCCCAAACCACATGAGAAATATTTGATATCACAGAAATGTGTTTTTGTAAAGTTAGCCTTCTAGCTATTTGTTTTTGTGGTTATTACAAAGACATTTCTTTGGGTTATTTATCTCATTGAACTCTAGATTGTGGTTGAACACATAAATATGTTTGTCAAAATTGACCATTTTCAAATACTCTCCTGCAAGACTAGGCCCAAAACTTGATTTATATTTCATTTTAAACAATCAACAACTTCAAGATTGAAATGCTTGTTGAAATGTAGGAGTGATATGGAATCTAATTGACCTCATACCATAACATTTCTCTAGATATTTGGGATTCTCATTCCTTATATCTATACAATTTCTATTTTTGTCACAGGGATAATTTTCTGGTTTTGTTCATTTTATTTCATTAGGTTGGGTACTGCTCAATAAAAGTGTAACTATTACAAACCAAAATAAGTAATAAACCATCTTCACTGCCAGGTTGTAAAATATAGGCATATTAGTTCATGGGCATAAGCTGAATTTCAAAGGGGTTTCAACAGGAATAATTATAAAGTGAGGAGGACTATTAATAATTCAGATTCATTGATTGTTATTTTTAGTTAATTCATGTTTTAACTTTGCTAAAAGTTCAATTCTGAATCAAAGTATCCCATAAATAATGACTTGTATTTGTATGGCACATCAGCTCTTGTGGACTGAGCATTTATTTCTTATTTCAACTAATTTTGTCCAAAAGTCAATCGATCATACATCAGTACATAACTGTAAACAGAAAAAGAAATGGCGTTCAGAAAAAAAATTACATAAAAATTACAGTTGCTAACAGTACAGTTGAAATTTGAAAAAAAACAGAGCTTACTCATACTATCTGATGAGTCAGTTCATTTGTTTTTGGATGTATGACTAATTGATATTCATCATACATATCATCATCATCATCTTTATTATTCCCAAGAAACAATTGACATATATGTTTATAACAGGGAACATCTGAGTTTGAGCTGATCCTTGTTTGAGTGAATGAATGATTAAAATAATTGATATGTTATTCAAAGAAAAAAATATTGAGTTCTTTCTTGAATTTTTTGGTACTGATATTTTTTTAAAGTCTTGATGGCAATTCATTGTAAAGTAATAATCCATTGTAATATATATAGATCTCTTGCCAAATTCAGATTTGATTTTAATGAGGGAAAACATGTATGCTTGTCTAGTTGAATGTGAATGTATATCAGCATTAATTTTAAAATTCAACTTGGAATGTTTATAATTGTGTTTGACTGAATGAATGAATGTTAATATTTTAAATTTATATATTGAATACTAGCTATTTATCACAAAACTTTCATTATTTCATTTCTACTTCTTTTAGTTTGTCAATCAATAAAAGCGGGATTCTTGAGTTTTTCAAACTACTCTTTATTTTCTACTCACTTCTTTTTAGTTTGGTTATCTATAAAAAGGTGTTTCATCAGTTTTTTAAACTAATATTTATTACAATAGCTGATAGCCGGAAAACGTTGTTTTGCTATATACAATTATTTCTAGAAAATATTTTTTTTAGTTGAATATTTATCAACATACTTTCATTATTTAGTTTTCTAATTTTTCTCTGACCCCGAAAACACCTAGATACTAATTTTGAATAGAATCGGATCATAAATTATAAAACTCAGTTGCCATATTGGATCCTCCATCTTTAATTTCCTAATTTTGATGAAGAATCATAATCTCCGATCCCAAAATTCCCCAGATACAAATTTTGAATGGAATCGGATCATAGTTACAAAACTCGTCCGCCATATTGGATCCGCCATCTTGAATTTCCAAAATTTGACGAAAGAATCATTATCTCCGACTCCAAAAACCCACCTGATACCAATTTTGCATAGAATCTGATCAACATTGAAAAACTCGTCCGCCATATTGGATCCGCCATTTTGAATTTCCCCATCTTGACAAATGATTCATATCTCCGACCTCTAAGACCTCCAGATACCAATTTTGAATAGAATCTGACCATAATTACAGAACTCGTCCGCCATAATGCATCCGCCATTTTGAATTTCCAAATTTTGACGAATGAACCATAATCTCCGACCCCGAAAACCATCAGATACCAATATTGAATATAATTGGATCATAATTACAAAAATCGTCCGCCATATTGGATCCGCCATTTTGAATTCCCTGATTTTGATAAAAAATCATAATCTCTGACCTCGAAAACCCCCAGATACCAATTTTGAATGGAATCTGACCCTATTTACAAAACTCGTCCGCCATATTGGATCCGCCATTTTGAATTCCCAAATTTTGATGAAAAAATCATAATCTCCGACCTCGCAAATCCCCAGATACCAATTTTGAATGGAATCTGACCATAATTACAAAACTCGTCCGCCATATTGGATCCGCCATCTTGAATTTCCAAAATTTGACGAAAGAATCATAATCTCCGACCCCGAAAACCTCCAACTACCAATTTTGAATGAAATCGGATAACAATACTCGTCCGCCATATTGGATCCGCCATCTTGAATTTTCGATTTAAAAAAATAGATTACGACCGATTCTCATACCTACCGAATACGCACAAAAAAATTCATACGAATCGGTCGAGCCGTTTCGGAGGAGTTCGACCACTAACACCGTGACCGGGACAGGAGAATTTTATATATTAGATTGATTGAAGATCTAATATTCCATTTGGTTTATAAAGGTTTCTTGTTGGTTCCACATAATCCAATTTATACAGGGTGGGTCACGGTGAATGGCCTATTAGAAGTATCTTGAGAACGAAAAGACAGAACATTCTGAAAATTGGGATGCTTTGATAATTGAACATTCTCTATTCGTCTAGAATGTTTTCATCGATACAGTGATGCCACTTCTATCAGAAACAACTAGCAACTTTGTTATTTCCAATGGAACACCCTGTATTTTATTGCATTTTTAGATTCTTCCTGAGGAGCTGATTTCATCGATGTATACTTGGGGTCACGCAGAAATGATTACAGAGATTTAGGGTATTCAAAATCTATATTTTTCAATTTTAGATCTTTTTTTGTGTTGAAACTATTCATTATTGATCAAAACGGCGTACATGTCCCTATTCCAACTTTTGATTCACTATCTACTGGAATTTAATTGAAAAAAATACAGGGTGCTTCAAGATTCAGAATTCTGATCACCCTGTATCTGTTCCAATTAAATGTTATTAGATAGTGAATCGAAAGTTGAGATAGGGACATGTAAACCGGTTTGATCGATAATGAATAGTTTCGACCCAAAAAAATCCCAAAATTGAAAAATCTCGACTCTGAACACCCTATATCTCTGTAACTATTCCTGCTAGACCGCAAGTGAGATGCATTGATAAAATCACCTCTTTAGGAAGAATCTGAAAATGCAATAAAATACAGGGTGCTCCATTTAAAATAACGAAGTTGCTACTTGTATCTGATAGAAGTGGCAACACTGTATCGATGAAAACATTTTAGACGAATAGAGAATGAATTCAATTATTCATCATATTTAGAATTGCTATAGTTGAATATCTTATATCATGTATGTATATTATGTAGTTTAGAATAATTCACACCAAACTCATTTATGTGTTGTATTTTATGTGTTTGTGATGAAAAACATCTCAAAATGTGTGTTATTATATTGAACTTATTATTAACTTCTGTTATTCGCACATACAGACCCTAGGTCTAGGTGCTTTACGCATTTCATAAAAAATAAATTGTCAATTGTCATAAAATGAATATTGTAAAATTATGTAATTATGTATATCAAATAAATATCAAATAAAATCTTATCAGTAAAAAAAAATTATCGAAGCATCCTGATTTTCAGAATGTTCTGTTTTTTCGTTCTCCCGATACTTCTAATAGGCCATCCACCGTGACCCACCCTGTATATACAATTATACATTTGACAATCTTATCCTGAAGGATTTCAAGTGGTTCTATAATTGATTAACTAGCAGTACCCCAAACATATATCGAATATTGAATATTAGAATAAATTAATAGTGTTTTGTCAGTCAGCTTTTATACAGGGTAACTCACGGTCCATGGTACGTTAGACGTTTACGGAGAACGGGACATAGGATCATTCTGAACTTTTGGTTACTCACGTAGTTGCTCTTGGTCTATCGATCTAAAATATTTTCAGCTCTGCGGCGTTGCCGCTTCTATCGAAAAGTAGCAAGAACTTTGTTATTTCAAATGGAACACCCTGTATTTTATTGCATTTTCAGATTCTCTCTGAAGAGCTGATTTCATCGATGTGTCACACTTGGGGTCTAGCGGAAATGATAACAGAGATATAGGGTGTGAAAAATCGACATTTTTCAACTTCAGGAATTTTTTTTGTCGAAACTATTCATTATTGGTCAAAACGGCTCACATGTCCCTATCTCAACTTTTGATCAACTATCTACTGACATTTAATTGAAACAAATACAGGGTGGTGCAGAATTCAGAATCTTGATCACCCGGTATATGTCCCAATTAAATATCAGTAGATAGTTAATCAAAAGTTGAGATAGGGACATGTGAGCCGTTTTGACCAATAATGAATAGTTTCGACAAAAAAATTCCTAAAGTTGAAAAATGTCGATTTTTCACACCCTATATCTCTGTAATCATTTCCGCTAGACCCCAAGTGTGATACATCGATGAAATCAGCTCTTCAGAGAGAATCTGAGAATGCAATAAAATACAGGGTGTTCCATTTAAAATAACAAAGTTGTTGCTACTTTTCGATAGAAGCGGCAACGCCGCAGAGCTGAAAATATTTTAGATCGATAGACCAAGAGCAACTACGTGAGTAACCAAAATTTCAGAATGATCCTATGTCCCGTTCTCCATAAACGTCTAACGTACCATCGACCGTGAGTTACCCTGTATATTGTATGATCCTACAAATTAATTATTTTATTTCAGATTGTGGAACATCTTTTGGCTCTAACGGATTTATTAGATTTAGGATTCTCAGAAAACGACGTCTCAAGTGTGCTAATTCAGTGTGACAATGACAGAGACAAGGCTTTAGATAAGTTGATATCATAAAATCCTCCTTTTATGGCTGTGCTCTTTCATAATTTTTGTGCAGGAGATGTGGTGTAATTAATTTATATTTATTTATTTGTAAATCAAATCTCATTTGTATCCAATATTCCTGTTTAATTTCAATACCTTTTTTGGCAACTGTGGCTGGAAAAGTGAGAAAAAAAAACATACCATCACAATATAATCATATATTTATCACTTTGATGAAAAAATTATACATTAATATTGCAGCTTTAAGAATTAATAATATAATTCAGTAGGAAAATATATTTACTATTCAATTTTTAAACATATTGTATCTTTAAAGAAAAACTGTTAATATCTAGTGACTCAAAAGGTTTTCAACCCCAAACAACTCATTCTAGTGTCAAACTCAAAATAATAAACATAAATCTATAGAATTCTATTCACCCATTCTGGATGGGAATCTATACAGAGTGAGCCAGTTTCAATTTGAACTTTCCCAAATATTTTCTTTGAGAACAGATCAATTATTCATTTATGCTGCACAAAACTAAATAATAAATAAAAATGTCACATTTTTCGAAAGATGACCCTGTATATCAAGTCATATGGGTTACTTGAAACAAATATTTTCTCATAAAATTTTGTTTGTATACTGGTTAAAATAACTGGAGATTAGATAAGCATTATGATTCAAATTATTGTCTGACACATCTGATAAAAATTCGGAAAATAAATCTTAAAATGAGATACAAAAAGTTGAAGTTAGGATAAGTCAAGATGGTTTTTCACCAAATAACCTCCACCAGTGACGTCCCAATTAAAAATGATTCGAGGATAAAGAACAAAAAATAACACCCAATTATTGACAAAACAATTGGATATTATTCTTATTATAATGAAATCTGACTCACTCCCTATAGAGATTTTAATGATTCCCATCTGTTATAATTTAAAAATGTACCCAAACAAAACACCCCATTCAAATGTTACTTTGTAACAAAATTAGTGGAGCAAATCTGGATACAGGATGAAAAAAAAAACTTTTTCCCAATATACTTGAGAAAAAGTGGAAAAATACTGATTTTGTGGGGTAAAATTTTTCCGAAACCTTATTTTTCATCCTCAGATTCACTCCACTAGAGCACATTTCATAGAAAATTTTCTAAAAATGATAAAGGTCAAACTAATTTGTACATAAAAAAAAGGAATTATCACATTTAATGTAAAGTGTATAATAAACCTATATATATATATATATACGTAAATTGAATACATAAAAATGTATTAAAGTAATTTTGCGCCAATCATGCAATTGGTATTTTTCACTATAATGGATTTATCACCCTCAATCAACATATTCCATCACAAAGTTTGAAATTTCCCCTCTTTCTCAGTACCTTTCAGGTGAACATAACTCTTTTTTTCTACTAGATACTATACAGTGTTGGCAAAACAACTGTAAAAATAGAAAAATAATGATTCAAATATAATTTCTGTTTCAAAAAATCAACTATGACTTGGAAATTTCCCGTCATTTAATTTTTCTGCGAAGTGCCTTTCATGTAAAAAAAAAACAACAAAAACTGTCAAATCATTATGATTTTGAATTAGGCGTCATATATTCATTTCCTCAGTTTACCATTCCTTCAGAGGCAGCTCAATCTACTATATTCTTATTTGGAATGTAGATATAGGTAATATTATACTTAGAATGTACACCAGTAATAGAAAGAAAGATATTATCAAACTATTTTAGACTTCAGTCAAAAGCTTTCTCCACAAAAATATAAATTGCATGCTAAGCGCAAAATCACTATAAATATCAATGCATTGTAGAATTTATCAATGAGAAATGAATACTTCATGGAAGTAAAAATAAAGTTCAATTTGTTTCAAAAGTATGACCAAATATTCAAAGGGGCTATTAAGGGCATACGTTTATATGAAGGCATTTTTCTCAAAATCAACCCAAAAATCGCCCCTTTTGATACTCCACCTTACTTTTGAAACACATTGTATGTATAAATAAACTATGACTCTAGCGTCTAGCGTATACCGGTGTACAAACTGAGCACGGACCTGGTCTCTTTCTGAGACCTCGCCTTGCTGAACACGTTCCAGAAACGCAACGTCTCATCCCCCGCCCCCGTCACAATGGCCTCCCCGTCGGGCGACAGCGCCAAGTAGAGCACCCTGTAGGAGTGCCCTGTCAGTTTGGCCACTTGCGTCAGACTGGGGTACTTCCACACGAGGATCTGGTTCTGGGAGTAGCCGTGCGTGGAGACCAGCTCCGAGCTGTGTTTGGACCACGCCAGATTGCATACTTGGGAGCCTGAAAAAAATTGCGAACGTTAGCACCTGAACATTGCACCGCATGTAATGAAACCGCGCGGATCGCTAGAGGTGAGCGGCCGATTCTGGGCAGGGCGGTACCTGGTCATTTCCACATCATAGGAAACATAATGTGTTAGTTCAGGGTCTCTATAAATGATCGTAACATCGTAGTGGCTGTTGAAATTTTTTTCCATTTGCCGCTTTCTACTAATGCTGTAAACAACATTTAACGACCAAAAACAGAGGAAGTGATCATATACAGGATCTTTTTATATATCGTTTTGCATACACTATGGAAATGTATCTCAAAGAAAGGAGAGTCCAATATTGGAGTTTGAAAAATAATGGAAAAAAACAAATTATTTATTAAAGAAGTAATAAATAACGGTTTATTTTAGTAACCTAAATCAAATGTTCAAAATGTTCTCCGTTGTTCTCCAAGCATTTCAAAACTCTTCGCCGTTTGTTGTCGAAAATGTTCCTCAGCATTTCCGGGCCAATATTTTGGCAGCAATGTGTTATTGAGGCTTGCAGCTCTTCAAGGTTATTATTGTCTCTCTTCAATACTTCGTCTCAAATATCCAAAAAGGCAGAAATTCAAAGGCATAAAATCTGAAGAACGTGTTGGAAAAGAAGGATTAACTCCACGACTCATCACACGGTTGTTATAAAATTCTTGTAAATATTTCAAATTTGCACGTGTGGTGTGGGCTGAAAATAGCCAACTCGAATTTCTTCATCATCAAGTTGATTGATGAATGGTTCTAACATCACTTGTCTGTACCTTTCACCATTGATAGTGCCATCTAAAATCGGTCCATATATTCGCCTACGAGAAACTGCTAACCACACCCCAATTTTTTGAGAATGTAGTGGAGTCTCAATGAAATTGTGGGGATTCTCAGATCTCCGAAACCAAAAAGAGTTCACGTATCCCGACAAATGAAACAAGCCTCATCGCTGAAACATGTTAGGTCCAATAACTGGTCATCGTTGAGATTATTTTGGAACCATTGGCAGTACTCCAGACGACTATTGGCAGAAGTTGCTGTAGTACACTGGCATATGCAATCTTTTCTTGAGCACTTTATGGCATGTACTCAGTGGCACACCAGATTGTAAAGATAATCTCTTCAATGACGTATGGGAATTTGCTCAACATGTGCCCTTAGATTTTCAACACGTGCCGTCAGATTTTCGACAACTCTTCAGATATTTGGGGCCTTCCTGTTGATTTCTTTTCATTAAAGTTTCCAGTTTGGATGAATCTGTTGATCACTATTCTGATGTGGGCTTTCAAAGAAGATTCTTGAATCTGTACATTAGGATATTTCGCCAGGTAATCATCCTTGCAGGCTACTACCGAGTAACTCCATCCACCATTGATGAATGTGCCATTTCGACAATAAGACATTACAATAAATGTATTCTGCTCCGAGGAATAAGCCATCCCTCTTTTCAACACGACAATCACGAAGTAGAAAACAGATTCGTTTGAAAATTTTAAAGAAAAACTGACAATTGTGAGTTCATCAGCTATTACAGTATAATGATTGATGTCAGAAATTAAATTCGAATGTGCGAATCTCCATAAATGAAAAGCGGCAAATGGAGAAAATATTTCAACGGCTACTACGATATTACGATCATTTATAGAAACCCTGTAGTTTGAGGATCTAAGATATCTGTAACATAAAGAAGGGAAATATCCTTTCTGCATAAGATTTTGAAAACAAAACGCCCCATTCAGGCACTGTATTTGTGTCATGGTTAGTTAGTGGTTTGAGGATCTAAGATATCTATAACATAAGGAAGGAAAATATCCTTTCTGCATAAGCTTTTAAAAACAAAATATTATTCTTAGCGAGAATTAAACCAGTAGGAGTGCCCTGTCAGTTTGGTGACTTGCGTCAGACTGAGATACTTTTACACGAGGATCTGGTCCTTGGAGTAGCTGTGAGTGGAGACCAGCTCCGAGCTGTGTTTGGTTTGGACCACGCCAGATTGCATACTTGGGAGCCTGATAGAAATGGCAAACATTAGCACCTGAACATCGCTCCGCGTCTAGAGAAAACCGCGCGGCTCGCTAGAGGTGAGCGGCCGATTCTGGGCAGGACCTCTGTTCCAGGTCATTTCCACATCATAGGAATCGAAATGTATTTGTGTCGTGGTTAGTTAGTGGTTTGAGGATCTGAGATATCTATAACATAAAGAAAGAAAACATCCTTTCTGCATAAGATTTTAAAAACAAAATGTTAATCTTAGCGAGAATTAAACTCGAGACGCTTGGCCTCCCCGTCGGGCGACATCGCCAAGTAGAGCATCCTGTAGGAGTGCCCTGTCAGTTTGACCACTTGCGTCACACTGGGATACTTCCACACGAGGATTTGATCCTGGGAGTAGCCGTGAGTGGAGATCAGCTCCGAGCTGTGTTTCGATCACGCTAGGTTGCATACTTGGGAGCCTCAAATAAATCATGAACGGGTGCTTCAGGACGTGACTTCATTCATAAGGCTACGTTGATTTATTTCGGCAAAAATATGGTGTGTTAGTCTACCCATTCATATTTAAACTACGCAACACTAAATTCGTCGCACCCCAAAGTTTTGCCTCTGTTGAAATATGAATAACTTTTTTCTGCTTTGAACGATTTGAATTTCGGAGCACACTGTTCGCTAGCCCAGTCCTTCAACTATAATCATTCACTTATAAAATCGCTACAGGGTGTTATCCGAAACTGTGCAGAATTTCGGAAATTTCAAAAGTATCCCAAATAAAGAAAAACTTCTTTTTCAACTTCGACAGTAGAGGCATGTAGATGATCTCATTATCTTAGGTCAGGTCTCGAATTGTCTCCTTATCTCTTTTATTTACAGAGTGATCTCAAAAAATGTAATTTTTGGTTTTGCATAACTGTTTTCCTTGTTAACCGATTTTTTAAATCTCAGGATCATTTTGAAGCTTGAACTTCAGATGAAGAACATTATACAGTATGTCTCACTTATAATGGAAGCACCCCTGTATCTTTCGTAATTGTTGAGTTATGATTCTGAAATATGCAAGAGCGGTAGGTATACTGAAAATACACACTATGAACCAAGTGGAGTCGTCTCCAGTGATATACACTGCTCGCCAACAGCCATGGAACCACTCATAAAAAAGATTGAAGGAGGCAAAATAGGTTGGAAATCACTTTGGATTCGAAATTAGGACGTCCCTTTCGCTTCCTCCTACAAATTTCAGAACCCTACCTCAATAATTACGTGAGATACGGGGGTGCTTCCATGAGAAGTGAGACAACATTTAGTTTTTCTGAACTGAACATTTTCCAGGAATACAATGTATAGTCAGTGAATTGGACGTCATGATTTCGAATCTGAAGTGATTTTCAACCTATCTTGGCTTTTAATAACATTTTCCGCAGAACAGTGTTTATCTCTGGAGATGACTTCACTTGGTCATTGTTTATTTTCAGTATACCTCCCGCTCCTGTGAGTTTCAGAATCATAACTCAACAATTACGGAACATAAACTGGTGCTTCCATTAGAAGTGAGACACACTGCATAATGTTCATCTTGAGTCAATTCTGAAGTTTCAGCTTCAAAATAAGATTTTAAAAACGGGTTGACAAGGAAAACAGTTATGACTGCAAAACCAGAAAGTTAATTTTTTGAGATCACTCTGCAAATAAAAGAGATGAGAAAACAATTTGAAAAATGTCCCTAGGTAATGAGATCATCTTCATGCCTCTGCTGTCGAAGTTGAAAAAAAGTTTTTGTTCATTTGGGATCCTTTTGAAAACTCCGAAATTTTCCAGTTTCAGGTGACATCCTGTAGCGATTTTATATGGAACCTCATGTTTTATAGAAGTACGAGATTATAGCTGAAAGACTAGGCTAGCGAACAGTGTAATCCGAATTCAAATTGTTCAAAGCAGAAAAAAGTTATTCATATTTTTACAGGGACAAAATTTTGGGGTGCGACGAAATTAGTGTTGCGTAGTTTAGAAAACATTTTTCCAATGCCGAAAACACGTTGGCGCTGTGATAGTAAATGGAATAGTATACTGTTTAACGAGCACGGAATGATAGTAATTTCCTACGATCATTCGAGTAGGAAATCACTATCATTCCGTGCAAGTTATACACTATAAGCGGCATTTTCGATTTCTTCGTCTTGTAGCCATCTGATTTCCTGTCAAGTAATGCTCATCTATTAGAAAGAGCTGTCATTGCTTGAAATTTGACATTCCATGGGCGATGAGTTTTTTTTTTTAAATAATAACACAATGGAGTCATTGGGCTATCAGATACGGAAATGACATTGATGTGTACCTCATTGATGTATCGAACACAGTAAAACAAGTGAGGTACGTAGTTTTTGAAAGGTATCAGATTAGTGTAGATGTAGTTTTCATAAGGTATTAGTTTATTTAGAGGTCAGATAATTTATACGACGTTATAAAAGCAGATGATATTTTATAATTGCTCATGTAAGATAGAAGTTGAGACCATGGCACCATATCATGAGCATATTTTTATATTGAAACTATCATTGGGCACCAATGATGTGTATACGACGCTATGAGAGTTCAGAGAACTGGAGATTTTTCGTACAAACTACGTACTTAGCCCGTACCTAGTTTATTGGCAAAAATAAAGACAGTAGAGTGAGCTAGGTACAGAGTTTATGGGAAAAAAATCAAGACAGTCGAGTGTGCTTTTTTACTTTCTTTTGTTTTTTGTTTCGTTTTCTATTGGCAAGTGATAATCTAGGAACTTGTAAATTTTTTAGTTTTTTCATCGTATCTCCCGAACTATTGAATTGAGAGGAAAATGTTATAGGGATTTTTTGTAGATTTTATCAAAAGGAATAATTTTGGTTCCATAACATTTTCAGATATCTCCAGTTGTTTTCGAGATATTTGGAATTATCTGAGAATAACATTTTCAACACTTTTGTTCCATCTTCCAATCAACAAAATGAAAAAATATTCCATGCCTCAGTGGAGGTAGATGAGCTTCATCTATCGATAATCTATGTTTTTCAATATATCTTTATAGTACCCTATGGGTCGTTAAAATTTTTTTTTTCATATTTTTCACTTTATTTCCTGTACTATTGGGTTTACAGAAAAAATTATGGAAAATGATTTGTAGGGAATGTTCCAGTGGATAACATTGCACTCTTGATAATTTTCGATTTTTCCATTTGTTTTCGATATATATTGAATTAAAAGGATTTCAAATTTTGATGTTTGGGTTTTCATTTGTTTTTCCAGTTTCCGATGGATGCACGAAAAAATGATTGAATGATAATTTGTTGCGTCATCAAAGAGGCATACGGTGCATTTCTCAAATTTGGATTTAGTCTATTTGTTCAGGAGATATGTCGTTTTAAAGCGAACCGTGTGTTTCGGAAAATCTCCTTGAAAAACCCACTTGGAATTTTCCGACCCTGCTCAATTTCAATAGGCTTCGTCTCTTCCTGATAGAGGTTTTTTTCACAAAAAATGAAATCGATCGGACCACTTTTGCGATTTGTAGAGTGCTTACAAGGAACTTCCGGTGAAAAATCGAAAAAACCCGGAAAAACCACCTTAGAGTTTTCCGATTTCCTTCATATTTTAATGACATAATATTGTTTTGAGTACAATAAGATGGCAAAATTTCAAGTCGATATGTCAAAGGGTTCCGGAGATATATCGATTTATGATTAACACAGAGTACAGACAGACAGACAGACAGACCACACACAAAAACCAAAGTTGCTCAAAATTCGATGGGGATCATTTTCTCCAAAGCAACTATACCTCTATCTCGCTTAGTTTCCGAGATAGCATTTTTGGCACGGCCGTAGTATACTCCACTATGTATAGCGTCGTATAACAAGTGAGGTACGTAGTTTTTGAAAGGTATCAGATTAGTATAAAGGTCAGATAATTCATACGACTTTATGAAAGCAGATGATATTTTATCATTGCTCATGTAAGATGGAAGTAGAGGCCATTGCACCATATCATGAGCATATTTTTATATTGAAACTATCATTGGGCACCAATGATGTGTATACGACGCTATGAAAGTTCAGAGAACTAGAGATTTTTCGTACAAACTACGTACTTATCCCGTACCTAGGTTATTGGCAAAAATAAAGACAGTAGAGTGAGCTAGGTACGTAGTTTATGGGAAGAAAAATCAAGACAGTCGAGTGTGCTTTTTTTACTTTCTTTTGTTTTTTGTTTCGTTGTCTATTGGCAAGTGATTATCTAGGAACTTGTAAATTTTTTAGTTTTTTCATCGTATCTCCCGAACTATTGAATTCAGAGAAAAATGTTAAAGGGATTTCTTGTAGATTTAATCAAAAGGAATAATTTTGATTCTATAAAATTTTCAGATATTTTCAGTTGTTTTCGAGATATTTTGAATTATCTGAGAATAAAATTTTCAACACTTTTGTTCCATCTTCCAATCAACAGAATGAAAAAATATTTCATGGTTCAGTGGAAGTCGATGAGCTTCATCTATCGATAATCTTTGTTTTTCAATATATCTTCATAGTACCCGATGGGTCGTTCAAATTTTTTTTTTCATATTTTTCACTTTATTTCCTGTACTATTGGGTTCACAAAAAAAATTATGAAAAATAATTTGTAGGAAATGTTCCAGTGGATAACTTTGCACTCCTGATAATTTTCGATTTTTCCATTTGTTTTCGATATATATTGAATTGAAAGGATTTCAAATTTTGATGTTTTGATTTTCATTTGTTTTTCCATTTTCCGATGGATGCACGAAAAAATGGTTCAATAATAATTCGTTGCGTCATCAAAGAGGCATACGGTGCATTTTTCAAATTTGGATTTAGTCTATTTGTTCACGAGATATGTCGTTTTAAAGCGAACCGTGTTTTTCGGAAAATCTCCTTGAAAAACCCACTTGGAATTTTCCGACCCTGCTCAATTTCAATAGGCTTCGTCTCTTCCTGATAGAGGTTTTTTTCACAAAAAATGAAATCGATCGGACCACTTTTGCGATTTGTAGAGTGATTACAAGGAACTTCCGGTGAAAAATCGAAAAAACCCGGAAAAACCACCTTAGAGTTTTCCGATTTCCTTCATATTTTAATGACATAATATTGTTTTGAGTACAATAAGATGGCAAAATTTCAAGTCGATATGTCAAAGGGTTCCGGAGATATATCGATTTATGATTAACACAGAGTACAGACAGACAGACAGACAGACCACACACAAAAACCAAAGTTGCTCAAAATTCGATGGGGATCATTTTCTCCAAAGCAACTATACCTCTATCTCGCTTAGTTTCCGAGATAGCATTTTTGGCACGGCCGTAGTATACTCCACTATGTATAGCGTCGTATAACAAGAGCAATCTTGTGTTATAGCCGTAGAAAAATCTAAACA